AGGGTGAACAGTGGCAGCCAGGTAGGATCCCATGAAGGGTCAAGTCACTATGAGTGGCATGTAGCCCTGGGAGACCTAGGTGTAGTGAGTACAGCCTCGGGAGAGCTGGGGCCATGCAGGGGAGTCTTTTCAGACCAGAACTGTGAAGACAGAGCATGTCAGGGTACCTGGTTCTTCCAGCCTACACCTGACACTGGGCAGCACACCTTACCTCCCGGCATACCAATGTGCTCCAGGAGACCACTGTCCTGGTTCAGTCTTCAGCCCACCAAGCTGCCTTTCCAGGTCTGTTTCTAATGTAGTGTAGTCTGCAGGAGGGTAAGGGACCCATGCTGCTCACTTCTAGCCTATTGTCCCTGTCTGGCCAGTTCTACCTGACCACCTATCTCTTAGGGCCTCTGGAACCTCACATAGCCTTCCCTTTCTCCCTTTTTTAAAAAATGTATTTATTATGTATACAGTGTCCTGCCGGAACACATACCTGCACACCGGAAGAGGGCACCAGATTTTTTTTTTTTATTATTATTATAGATGGTTGTGAACCACCATGCTGGGAATTGAACTCAGGACCTCTGGAAGAGCAGTCAGTGCTCAAGCCCTGAGTCATCTCTCCAGCCCAGTCCTCCCTTCCTTCTCCTAGGGGCACTGAAGTACTCAGAAGTGATGGTTCCAGCCTCTTCTGGGCTGACTGTGGTCCTCTGTCATGTTACTGCCACTCGCATTTCCAAGGTCCCTGATTCAGGCAGGGCTCACCCTACCCTCTCCTAAATGCACATCTTGACCTTGACTTAACTTGAAGGCACACAGAAGGTTCGAGCTCAGGCCTAACTGCTTTCCTCTCCCAGACCTTGTGACCTCTGGCTGCTCACGGGCTTCCATCCCTAAAGGACCCCAGGCCTCTGAGAGCGCCTGCTGCTTTCGAAGGGCCACTAGGCTCTGTCCTGTGGGATGCTGTCCACCCATGCCTTCTTTCGTCAGCACAAACTTCACATCATGGCTAGAGAAGACTCAAAAGACAAGACATGCCCAAGAGGCAAGGATGCCCATCAACTCACCTCGAACATTCTTGGCCCCACTCTGCACTGAGGAGAGTGCAGGGAATCTCTTCTCAACCCAGGGCAGCCTGATATCCCCAGCCACTTAGTTTGTGATGTCCTAGCATCCAGGACAGGTTCAGGTACTCTGGGCAGCTCTGCCCACTTGCCTAAGCCTTTTATTGCCAACTCCTTGTAGTATCAGCATCTATAGTATCAGCATGAGAGCCCAGTTTTTGACCGGGGAGGGCAAGAACTGTTGTTTTTTTGTTTTGTTTTGGTTGGTTTTTGGTTTTTCGAGACAGGGTTTCTCTGTGGCTTTGGAGCCTGTCCTGGAACTAGCTCTGTAGACCAGGCTGGTCTCGAACTCACAGAGATCCGCCTGCCTCTGCCTCCCGAGTGCTGGGATTAAAGGCGTGCGCCACCACCGCCCGGCTGGCAAGAACTGTGTTGCTCTATATTAGGTGGTCCTGGGTAGCTGGGTAAGCACCGCGGTGGACCGGTGCACTGTGGACCAGAGAGGGTGGATCCCCACAATGCTCAGGTGAGCAACAAGAGGACTCACACAGTCCATGGCACAGTTGAGTCCCAGTGATTATTCTTGAGGGGAGGCAATGGGGATGGAGTTTACACGTCCGGACATGCGTTCCATCCAAAATGGCGGTTCTTCTCTGAGCCGGTGACCCTGTGGCCGGCATCAGGAGGAGGCACAGACCTAGAAAGGGCACCGCAGTCTGGGGACCTTCCTCGGCCCCTCCCCCAGCTCTATAGGATCTGATCTCACAAACACAGCCCCCACAACCGCTTCTCCAGGAGACACTCCGGCTCTCTCATCTACCCAACAGGCCTCGGACGGAGACGAGCCCCCGAGACAGGACCCCAGGCCAGGCTGGCCTCCGAATCTTGGTTTCCTGCCACCCGCACCCTGCTCGGTCCTGCAGGAAGTGGCCGCCTCCTGAACAAAGGGGCCGGCGGACAATGGCCATTGAATTGGGCTGGGGAGCTCGTGCGGAGACAGACCGCCAGCTGCCTGCGCTGATAAGACCCTGCACGCCGGGCCCAGTAGGACGCGGAGCGGCGCGCGCGTTCGTCCCCTCCGTGCACCTCCACCGTAACCCACAGAAGCCGAGCGCGGCCAGAAGCCCAAAGCTCGCGGAGGGCTGCGCGTGGGTGGCTGGCTGGGGACCAATGGGGAGTCGGCGAGCCCCGCTTTCAGACTAATCTCGGGAGCGCGCGGGGCAACAGAGCCAGGCACAGCTCACAGCTCGGAACCGCCCCTCCTGGCTCCGCCCCTACGGCAGCTCCGCGCTCCTCCTCCGGTGCTGCTAAGCAGCGGTCCTGTGTGGCTCTTGAGAGCTGGTGGGACGTTTTGATTTTTTTTCCTCCCAACGCCTCAGAAGTGGGGCTGGAGAGATGGCTCAGAGGTTAAGAGCACTGATTGTTCTTCCAGAGGTCCTGAGTTCAATTCCCAGCAACCACATGGTGGCTCACCCAAAGCCTCAGAAGTAATCCGTGTTGATGCTGGGAAACGTCCTCGCAGGGTTATGTTTCCCTCGCATTATTTTGGGTGGCATGGGTGCCTGCGTGGCAGGCATGTAAGTATCGTCTAAGCAGGCTGGCTGTGCGTGCTGCACCGACTCCACTGATATGCGCACAGCAGGGGTACATCTGCTCCAGACAGACACCTCCTTTGTCTTGCCCTTTACCCTCAACGTGAAGATAGGGACGTATCATAAGCCAGGCCAGATTCCTCCTACTGGTGACATTGAGGATTATCCAACAGATAGTCGTTGTGCACCCTCTGGAACCATATCTGGAAAACTCCTTGGGTCTCCAGCTCCGGAGGCCTGGATGGTTCACACTAGAGCCAATTCCAGAGAGGAGGAAAGTTGAGACTGCCTTTTTCCAAGTCCCTAAGTCGCCACCCTAACCTGGCACAGAGCTGTGATTAGTTTAAGTATGCGGCAGGCATCTGTTGTAGCTGTCAGAATGACAGAGCTGTGGGGGGAAAGACGGGAACTGGCAGGAGCAGGGGCAAAGTCTGTAAGTCTGTGGAAAGTGAGACAGACCTCTCTGTTCCTGGTCAGAGTGAGATGGCCCGGGTCATTTCCAGTCTTGGCAGACCCTGGGCAGATGGCACAGGGAAGGGTCTGCTTCCCTTGGCACTGTACTGCTCACAGCACTTCCTGCTTCGGCTCCATGACCAAGCAGCCCCTCCCCCAACAGGTTCAGGCCTACTGGTAGGTTTTCTCCCTACCCCATCCCTAAACTGGGGAGGGCAGAATGCAGCGGGTGGAGACAGAGGAACCCGCAAAGACTGCTGAAGCCCTCAGCTCTGGTCAAAGAGAGTAAGGAAGGCTTTTTACAGAAGAGATGCAACAGCAGCAGCAATGTAGACTAGGGTCAGGGAAGAGCCAGGCGTTGGGGAAATGGGGAAAGGGTGGCACACGTGAGTGGCACAAGGCTGTCAGAGTGCTAGTGGGCTTGATGAGACGCCCTTAGCCCATCTGCACTACTTCTTGCACTGTTTGAGACCATTATGTTGGCAGCCCTGGCGAGGCCAGCCCTGTGAGGGAGCATGCCCATGTATGTGGTGACCACTTGCTAGGGCCCCAGGAGTTGGGTGCAAGTGACTAAGACTGTAGTGTATTGCCTGGAAGACAGCCAGGTGTGTGGCCCTGCTGATGCCAGGGTCAGGCTAAGCAGTCCCTCTGTGGCTCTGTTGGTGGACAGGCTGAATGGCCGTTGCCATAGCAAGGCAGAGTGCTACACTCATTGGGCGGCACTGGAACACCAACACAGGCTTTTGGGGGAGCCTCTCAGTAAGCATCATCTGGAGTCACGTCAAAGACTCAGTGAGTGTGTCTTTTCCGGGAGTGCCCTATCTCCTGGGTGCCTGTGCACTCCTGACGTAGCCGGCTTAGGCTGATACACCTGTTCCAGTCTTCTTTGCATCTTGGCCTAGCATTGCTCACCTTCAGCACGCTTCCCCTGCCTCGAAGGCCCTTCTCCAAGCAGTTGCGTGAGATACTGTGTACCCACAAGGTCATTTCTTGCTACACTGTCCAAAGGTGCAGTTAGACAAGCCATGAACAAATGTGTCTTGTTTTGTGAGCCATCCAGACCAGGCTGTGGACACCTGGGCCTGCAAAGGCAGATGCCTGCAGGTCTCCTGGCCCTACCGCTCAGTCTTCAGGAAGTGGGAAGCCCTTGGCTTCCAACCCTGCCCCTTTATCAGCCTTCATGGCTTCCTGCTGTAAAAGTGGCCTGCTCCCCCACCTTGGCGCCAGGACGTCGGGTCAGTGGTGACTCACCCAGCGCCCAGCATGAGGACGCCTTGGCCCTATGTCCTTCTGCCTACCTTCACAGCACTTGTGCCTAGCCATTAAGTCTCACAACAAGCTGGCTTCTTCTCCAAGAGCCTCACAACAGGGCACACCTCTGCTTCTGGGCCATGAGCTTGCCTCTGCTGAGTTGCTCCACTCTGCAAAAAGTGACACCCCAATCTCTGTGCACCTCTTATACACAGATACAGCATACCCATGCTGTTCCTTGTCATGAGTCCTGCCTACACCTCCCCACACTCTATGTCTTCATCACTCTTACCCTTACATGCTCTCTGTTGCCACCCAGGCCCCAAGTATGTGGAGACCTGCCTCTTCCAGATACTCAAGACTGTGCCCTGTTTGGGCATGGCTCTGGGAAGATGTGCCAGTGTAACTCGTATACATTTCCCACTCTAGGGCCTCAGGAAGACTCTCCAAGTCCCTTTCCACCCTGAGTGCCTGCATTTCATGGGCTTGTCTCTGAGAATTAGTGGACTGCTAGCAGAACCCTGAGGTATGTTACCCTCTCCCAACCCCCCGCTGGGAAAAACTGACCCTCCACCTTCACCACAGTGCACCCTTTACTAGTACATTCCAAGATCTGCTGTGTGTAAAGATGGGAGCTGGAGTCGGGGAGACCAGAGTGCCCTTGGCCCTTACATACAGAAGGCTGGTGAAAAAGGGGGGGAAGGAAAGGCTGTCTGGGTGGGCTCTTGCTTACAGGGAAACACTGCTCTCCTTTGCCTGTGAGATCTGTAATCCAGCCCTTAGGGCTTTCTGTTTCTGCCTGCTGATCCTGAGTGGAGGTGTGATGGTTAGTTGTTAATGTGACACAAATCATTTGACTTCACTGAGGAATTGCTGTCACAGGTTTGGCCTGTGAGCATGTCTGTAGGGCATTTTCTTGATTGATGTTTGATGTGGAAAGGCCCAACCTACTGTGGGCCATGGCATCTCTGGGAAAATGGTACTGGGTTGTCTAAGCAAGCAAGCTGAACAAACTTTGGAGAGCAAAATGGTAAGCAGTGTTCCCTCATGGTTCCTGCCCTGACTTCCTTCAATGATGAACTGTGATCAGGACATGTAAGCCACATGAACCCTTTCCCTCTTCCTAAGGTGGGTTTGCTCAGCATTTTAAAATGACAACAGACCGGAGAGATGGCTCAGCAGTTGTTACTCTTACAGAGGACTTGGTTTGCTCTTGGGCACCCATGTGGTTCACAGCAATCTGAACTCATGTTCAGTTATCTGATACCCTTTCCTGACCTCAGCAGGCACCAAGCATACATATACCAGGCAAAACACTCTCACGTGAAATAAATCTAATGAAAAAATTTAAAAACTCACAGCAAGAGGAAGCAAACTAGGACAGGAGTGTAACCCCGCATTCCTCCAGCCTGGACAGCCTGTGTGCAGCCTAAGCCCCCAATCCAACTTCTCAATCGGAGTCACTGCCAATGGGCTGGGAAATCTTGTTCTTGAATAGCAGTTTGTCTGGGGGCCCACCTGCCAGGGATGTCCCCCAGAAGCCCTCCACAGGCTGCTGAGCCTGACTCCACCTCATCATCCTAGATTCTTCTGTCCAGAGACCTCTACCAGAACCCATTTCCCCGCACATCCCCGCGAGCCCCTGTCTTCTTCCACCCCACATCCTGTGCTCCTCCAGCCCTCCAGGTCCATTCCGTTCCCACCAGCATTCCCACAGCCGTTTTTGGAATAGAGGAAGACCAGCATGCTATTCTACTCAGGTCCTGCCTAGGTGTCCAGCATGGCGTCACTGCTCCTCTGCAGGCCTCTGCAAAGTCTCATCCTATAGCCTATGTTGGCCCTGAACTTAAATTGATCCTATCTCAGCTTCTAGCACTTTGCCACCCCTCAGGTGTCAATGGACAGATACAATTGTGTGCTAATCTCTCCCACAAGCAGCCTGAAGGAGAGGCCTGGCTGTTCCCTGCTGTGCCACTGGCTTTACTCAGAGGCACTGCCAGAGTCTGCTCAGTGAATAACTCACAAATGACTGAGAAATATTTCGAGCCTTTTTGTGTTTGTGTGGTTGGAGTGACTGACTATTCTGGTCAAAGTCCTGTGGGAGATGAAGTTCCTGGGGCCTCCGGGTGCCGCCTCTCGGCTGAGGGACACTGTCACTCAAGTGAGAGTGCGTGTTGCTGACACAGGGGAGGCCCGATGAACCTGCTTTCCATTACTTTTTTTTGTTGTTTTTTGAGACAGGGTTTCTCTGTGTAGCCCTGGCCGTGCTGGAGCTCACTCTGTAGACCAGGCTGGCCTCAAACTCACAGAGATCTGCCTGCTGGGGTTAAAGGCCACCATGGCCTGGCCTGTTGCTCATTTTTACTTCCAGTTGGAGTACACTGTCTCCTATGGAGTGAACTTGTCTGCAGGTAATGAGAGCAGTGGTGCCTGGATCCCCAGGAATTAGAGGTAGCTCAAAGCAGTAGAGATCACCAGTCCTCTCGGGCTCAGCAAATGCTCCTTTGTTGAGTGCTTAAAGGTGATGAACGTCACCTCAGCAAGCCTATGTCACTTCTGAACACAGGCACTCAAGACAGCATGTGGATTCTGTTTAACCACCATCCACTGTGTCATCAGGCAGGCCATAATCTCCCAGGCTTTGCTGAGCAGGTGTCTGGCTGATTGCTATTCACGACCTTCATATTGGGGAAAAGAGTTACACCATATGGCACAGTGGACACTGCCTCCAGCTCACCAGGCTTGACTAGACCTACTCTCTACAGACTTCCCCAACCTTTGCCCAAGCTGGGACCTCCTGGGCCTGCCAGACCTCTGTCTGAGCAGCAGGGCTGGTCTGGGAGCTCAGCTTTGCTGCCCAGGTGCCAGTAACACCCCCTCCACTGTGCTGCTTTCACTGAGCTGGGATGCAAGGTGCATTATGCATTAAAACCCTTTGTAGATGTTTTGGGAGCACATCCATGCTCCTTCCCATTCAGGGTTAGCTGGGATGGCAGGAACCAAGAGTTTGACAGAATGAGGTTCAGGACAGGCTAGACCCAAGGTCAGGTTGAGGAGTGAAAGTGAGTGATGGTTGAAATGGGTTGGGTCCCACCAGCTTGGGGCGACTGCTCTCATGGGTCTTAGCCAGGTCCATTGTTTGGGTACAATAGCTCTCCTGATTTAGGTTCCTCTCCCAACAGGAAAACCATAAAGTCTGCCCATTACTACTGCCCACAGCCCCTTGAAGTTCTGGATAGACCTCAGGCGCCAAGTACAGCTTGGAACCTGACTTTACCCCTTTCCAGCCTGTTATAGCCCAAGCACCCTAGGGACCAGCCATCTCTCTAGGCATGTAGCTCAGGGTATAAACACAGGTTCCGATCACCAAGGAAACAGTGGCCCACCTAACAGAGCTCAGTAACATGCAGAGGCTGAGTGACTCCCCCACCCCCCACTGCCTAAGAGCTCTTCCTGAAACCCCTTTTGGACTGGAGACCCTTACTTGCATAGTTTACTCAGACTAGGATAGCACCACCCCCATCCCAACCACTTTACCTGAAGCTGAGTTGATACCTCAGGGTCCCCCAAAAGGTCAAGGCACTTTTGCAGAGTGACTGAGTCCTGTGAATGGGACAGACGAGGGCAAGAGGGTGCTGGTTGTACAATCAGTATCTTAAGTCTAAGGAGGCCTTGGAGGTGTGCTGCTTCAGGAGCTGTGTGCCAGCCCACATCCCTGCCAGTCCCCTAAGTTCAGGTTCTGAGGCACTCCTATTTGTTGGATTGCAGAGTAGGGGGTGGGTTCAGTGAGAGGGCCAGTCAACTGTATCACCCAAGCAGAGAAAAAACCCAGGTCAGCTTTAATGGCTAAAAGTTATATCCAGCAAAGTCCTTCAAGAAACAGTGCTGCAAGCAGCCACCAGAGGGGGCAGCTCAAGCCAATCACTAGGCTTGTTATGGACAAGTACAGTACTCCAATTCACCAGCAGATATGTACCTACAGGTCCTGTATCTCTGAGGCTCAGTCTACTAAGTGTCTGGCTTCTCCTCCACCTACTGTGCCCCCTACTTCTGCCCAGCTGGCCTGACATGTGCTTCTAGCTCACTTGTCTTGCTGTTTCCCCACCCCCATCTGGGGTTTACTGGGTCAGGGCAGTGTAAGCGAAGGGCTTGGGGACTGTGTGTTCTGGTCTGTGGCCCCACAAAGCAATGGTACTGAATAACTCCACCTAGCCCAAGACCACCAGAGGTGGCTAGGTAACTACCATCTCAAGGAAGTACACACTCTCATGAGTGATCAAACTCATGCTTGCCCATCTCCAGGGCAAAGCACACAACCTTATAGTTCATGTGGAGAGCCCAGTCCTGACAGGGATAAGTAAACTTACAGCACCTCAGGAAGGAGGCTACCTCCTCCAAAGTCCTCCCAAGGCTTTCTTGGAGTAAGCCTGTTGTCCTTGGCTAGGCCCCTGTACTCTTGGAGGCTGCAGAAGGTACAGAGAGGACAGGAAGGGAGCTTCAGAAGGTAATGATAGGGACACTCTCAACAGACATCACCATTGCCATATACAACACCAACCTGTATTGCGTACATCACCGCCCTGGGTACAGCCATCAGGGGACTCTTGGGGTATGGAGAAACTTGGTCCCTCCACCTTAGCAGAGGAACAGAAATGGGTTGGACTAGGGGGAAGTCAAACAGGTGTTTTGCTCCAATGATCACAGAGCTTCCTCTGTGGCCAGAAGGGGCCCAAGATTTCAGTCACTGTCACAGGCTTGCCTGAAAAGTGTTACATCCAAGGCTTCAGAGACTATATATGCTTCAAGGAGGGGCAAATGAAGTCAGACACCCCCGTCTACACTGACTTAGGATATTCAATTCCAGTTAGGGTGTGCCCAGAGCTTGCAAGGGTTGCGGAGGGGTTGTGGGCCTGCAGGGCTGGTGGCCTGCATCATGCTCTAGTTCCAGTAAGCCAGTGATCTCTTTTCTAAATCAAGGCCTTCCAGGGCTGGCCTAGGCTTGGTTCCCTAGACTGGAAGAACTCTCAAGAAACCACCCTGCTGGGCGGTGTTGGCTCACACCTTTAATCCCAGCACTCAGGAGGCAGAGGCAGGCAGATTTCTGAGTCTGAGGCTAGCCTGGTCTACAGAGCGAGTTCCAGAACAGCCCTGCCTCAAAAAAACAAAAACAAAAAAAACCAACAACAACAAAAATTCCACAAAAACAAACAGCAACAACAAAAAACCCAAACCCAGAACCATACTACCAACAACAAAAAGAAGCCACCCTTGACCCAGTTCCAGTTACTGTCTATAACACCATGCGTCAATGCTTCTAACTCAGCCTAAATTGCTGAGCAGAGAGCAATTAGAACCCGAGTTATCCACCATGCAGGCAGCAGCCTGTAGAGGGTACAAAGCCACTTAGGCCCTCTTTCTTCACTTAGTCCCTATCCTATGCCTCAAAGAAGGGAGAACAAGGAGGAATGCTGGGTCTAACAGGTGCTCCTAAGATGCATGCACCCCACTCCTGCATTAGCAACACCCATTAAGGCCCTGCCTCTTTGGCTTCTGGGGTTTCCTGTAGGGTCCCTATCATCTAACCAAGCATGCATCTGGTGATAGCTACTTTAAGCACAGAGGCAAAAATCCATTTAGCTGAGCCCATGGCCAAATTATGTGTGGGAGAGGAATGGACTCCTGTGGCTGGAGCAAGGGCAAGGTGTGCATGTCCCCTGGGTCCTGGACAGGTGCCAAGATTATGACCAAAGGTGGTGGCATGGTCAGAGCTCACTCTCCACCTTCCACAGGACTTATTTCACTCCTGCTTCAGTAGGTATACAGTTGGAAAAAGCAGCTGGATAGGAAACTGGGGTCCAGGGTAGGCTGCACAAGCTCCTCCTGGACCCAATAGCTCTGGATGGAAGAACTCCAAGTGGGAGCGCCACCCTGCCCTCCACTGCTGACTTCTCTCACTCTGTGGCCCCACTCCTACAAGCAATCCCATGACCTCTAAAGACAAGCACACATTCTGCTAAGCTTAGATGTGCTCGGTTATCAGGGATCTTGCTAAGTGATACTGTCTTGTGCTGGTGATCACCAGCTTGCAGAGGACGGTGGTAACCACCAAGTACGAGGTTCCTCAGTTCAGGCAGCTGGCAAGAAACTTGGGTAGTGCAGCCTGCAGGCTGCCTCCCCTACACCCCCCCCCCCCCCCGCGCTGGCAGAAAGGCAGTAGGAGAGGATAAAAGAGGCAGAGAAAGTAGGACTTCCTGTCTAATCAGCACTCAAATGTGTAGACCAGACAGGATCCCAGTCTAGAATGCAGTCTAGAATCCAATGGACTCCCTCTTTCTAAGGTTCAATGTGGTGAGGCCTGGTTCTGTCCCAGAAGACTGCCTAAGGCACTGCTCTGCACTCTGGGAAGACCGAGGCAAAGGGATAATGTGGTAATCTCAAGTCAGAAAAGAGCAGAGAAATGGACAAGTGTATGCAGAACAGGGTCATACAGACCCAATGCCTCCTTGAGCCTTACACTAATGCTGGTGGCAGCTCACACAAGGCTGTGGCCGCAGCCCAGAGGTACCCTTGCCCACTTCACGGATGCCCCCTACTGGACCCTACTCCTCAGTACCTGGGTCTCAACCATTTCAGGACCTCCCACTATGTTACTCACCCATCTTCTAGAGACAGTTCTCACTGTCCCCCTCCCTCTGTCCTGACTTTCTTCAACCCTCTCCTTAGTAGTGTGGGACTCAATTACTCCTTCCTGGCTCTTGCCCATTGTCCAGCCTTGACGACACCCTTCTTGCTGTCTCACAAGAAAAAAGGCACAGCTGGGGAGAGGCCTCAGCTCCTGTTCTAGGGTACTTGTTTCTATTCCTGAAGTTGTTGTTGTTGTTGTTCTTCTTCTTCTTTTTTTTTTTTTTTTTAGGATTTATTATGTATACAACATTCTGCCTCCATGTATGCCTGCACACCAGAAGAGGGCACCTGACCTCATTATAGATGGCTGTGAGCCACCATGTGGTTGCTGGAATTGAACTCAGGACCTCTGAAAGAGCAGCCAGTGCTCTTAACCTCTGAGCCACTCTCCAGCCCTATTCCTGCAGTCCTTACCAGCCACCCCTCATCCCTGTACTCTCTCCATGCCATAGGTAAATCCTGTTACATGTAAGTATACAAACACCCTAAAATTACTCTGGACCAGTGTCATGGCTCCCTACCATGGTTCGGACCTCACTCCTGTGAAGTTGGCCCCCACCCTAGGAAGGATCCTTGATTCCCTAATTCCATACTCCAAAATCCAAAAGTATTTTGCAATCTTCTCACCAAAACCACTCCATATCTGTCCCACCCATCTACTTTCATCAGCAGCATCCCCACACCTCATCATCTCAAGCCTGGTCCCCACCTCTTGATTTGAAACAGAGACCAGTACTCCGCCCAGGGACTCACATCCAGGGCTGCATCTAGGAAAGGGAGATCTGAGTTAAGTGCACTGATATAGTCCTGAGCCTTCTCGTGAGGAAACAGCTTGTGGGCCTTCTTGACAGAATTCCACATAGGTTGTGCTGGACATTAGCAAATGCATATGGTCTCCAGGTTTCCACTTTCTGAGCGCTGCTGATGAACTTGATGAGTCCTATGTGAAAGGCTGAGGCCTGTAATGCTCCTGGTGGCTCCAGACAGTGAACGGACTTCAGAGATGGCAGAGCTCATATCCGCCTCCACAGGAAGCTGCGGCTGCAGTAAAAGGCAGGGGCTCCAGACTATAGCTGCTAACCATACAGCAGTAACTGCCACACATCTTCTGCCCAACACCTATCCGTCCAGGGTGTGAAGGGCAGGCAGAACACTGGCAGCAAGCTAAGACCAAGGTTCTACTTCCTAAGTAAAGCCCCTTTGTGTTTTGATCTCCTTATGACAGGAACACACAGAGCCTGCCTGGGGATCTCTGGAGAATCACAGACTAGTAGGGTAAGAGCAAGACCAGGCTGTTCTCTGACCATGTTTCATTACACATAAACACACAGCTGGCTTCCCTTGTTGGGCAAAAATATTCCTTACATTGCTCAAAACATGATTCCCAACAGTATGATGGGGCCCCCAATGTGGCCATAGAAAGAGAGCTTCAAATCAAGTGGGGCAGTGCTTGACCGGTTGAGTCCAGAAATCATGCCTGTGAGCCGTGCCCCAGGGCCCATCTGACCTCCACAGATACACTTGGAGTCCAGCACCAGGATTCTGCCTTGAGTTCTACTTAGTAGCCATCATCCTCATCACCATCACAGCCGTAATCTGTAAAACACAGAGGACAGCTGTCAAAGTCCAGGCAGTCCTCTGTTGCCACGGACACCCACCTTCACGTTTCCAGCTCCCAGCCCCAACTCCATTGGCTTTATCTCACAGGTCCCACCACCTGAAGGCCCACCATTTCAATATACTCCCAGAAATCTTTGGGGCTAGTCGACTGGTATGTGCCCTGTGTAGGGGCTTTGACTCCTTCCTGGTCACTGTAAACAGTATAGCCAACCCAGACATTTCTCTACTGGTAGAACAGTCCTCCCTTCTGACTTCTAACATACCCAGAATCCTCATCTTCATAGTAGATGCTTCACCTTCCCTGTGGAGCTGGCCTTCCAGCCTTTGTCTAGCTCCTTCTAGCATCCTCAAAAGCCTCAGATCAATATGGGCAATTCTAAGTGTCCTAGTTCCCTTCTTTGAGAGAGGACTTTAGTTTGTAGCCATAGGCTCATATTTGGAAATAACTTGGGTGAATGGCTATATCTTTATTTCTCTGGATGCCCCCTCAAAGTTCTTGTAGTGTGCCCATAGCCGTGTGGCCCTACCCACCATTGCCACCCATCATCTGCAGAGCACTGACGCAAGGCTCTCCATCCTCTTCTTCAGCGTCCTCCTCATCTGCATCCTCATCAGGATGGTAGGACACAGGGCCACTCTCCACCAAGACAGCTGATGGCTTGATTGGTTCAGTTCCCAGGGCAGGGGAACTTAAAAGCAAGGCCTGGAAAGAGAAGGCCTGTCTCTGGGACAGAAGCAGAGTATGTGCTGCCCTCCTGACTGTAAGGGACCCTCAGGCTTTCTCAGTATGAGCACAGGCACTCTTCAGAGCTCCTGCCCCACATCTGAGCTGGCCAGAGGATCAGTCTGCCCCCTAGTACCCATTAGTTCCTTCTGGCTTCCTGGGGCTATGAAGTTCTAGCCCTCCTTTCCCCAAAAGCTGTTATCAACTGAGGAAAGGAGGGCCCTGTGGCATGCAATCTAGCCTCTGCCCACACTAGTTCACACAGTGGCAGTTAGCTTGCCCTCAATCCCAGAGCAGCAGGCACAGAGCTTGCCTGTACCATTGCCTGCTCACTTCCGTGACCCAGGCACTCTCATACCCTGAGCTTTAGGATTCTCTGCTGGAGCCAGGCCAGCACTGGTGCAGAAACCAACTGGGCCTCGCCCTGCCAAGTCTGATAGCAACTTGAGTTCCTGAGGCCCTGTCCCAGCTGTGCAGGACAACATACCTCTCCCACAGCTGCCTTCTTAGCTGGCTGTGTAGACACCAAAGGCCTCAACCTGAAAGTATAAAAGCAGTTTCAGTTCAGGTAGATGTGGGAGAGAGAGGGTGAATGCGTGTGCGTGTCTGTGTGTGTACCACGCAGAGACTGAGGCCCTGTCCAGGAAGGCTCAGAGTCTATAGCCTCAGTTCATACCTGCCTGCTGACCATCACTGACTAGTAGGACTGAGGCCCTTGACCAGGCAGATGCATGGTCTCATGGCAGGCCCAGCTGCACTCTGGAGCCCAGCCTTGTTACTCCACAGGTATACCTTTCCAGAGATACACAACTTTCACTACCACTGCTACTATCGCACTGGTCTTACCCGAGTCTCTCTTCCTATCCTTAGGCTTCCTTCTGACCTTAGGGCTCACCTGTTCCTCAGTTTTACTACCGGGAATACCTCTGTTACTGTGTTTGACCTGCTGTCTTGCATTAATCAATGCCTGCCATCACTCTGTCATTGATGGGAGATATATAAACACAATATAAAAAAAGCAAGTTCCAGCTGGATGCCTTTAACACCAACACTCAGAGTTTGAGGCCAGCCTGGTCTATAAAGAGTGAATTCCAGGACAGCCAGGGCTACACAGAGAAACCCTGACACCCCAGAATTGGAAGATTCACCAGGTGCCCCTCCCGTTTTGGCTATGTAGTAGGCACCCCAAGGTCAAGGCACTGGACTACCTTTCTACCCCTTTGGACAGGAGCAGTGACTATGTGCAAAGAGTCCATGACACCTTTCCTGGTCAATCTGTACCAGGGGAAATGAGGAAGAGGGATAGACAGTTATGAAGAAGAAAAAGAGGTGGACAAACCTACACCTGCCCCCACCTGCCTCACAGAACCACCACTTCACTTTTACCAGCAGTACCTCCATCTTGGGCCTGCCTTCAATGTCCCTAGGACTTCCAAACACAAAGGTACCTTAGACATCACGTCCACAAGGAACAGAAAGGGGGGAGGGGCCTGGAGAGATGACTCAGAGGTTAAGAGCATAGGCTGCTCTTCCAGAGGTCCTGAGTTCAATTCCCAGCAACCACATGGTAGCTCACAACCATCTGTAATGAGATCTGGTGTCCTCTTCTGGCCTGCAGAAAGAACACTGTATACATAATAAATAAATCTTTAAAAAGAAAGAAAGAAAGAGAGAAAGAAAGAAAGAAAAGAAAGAAAGAAAGAAAGAAAGAAAGAAAGAAAGAAAAGAAACAAAGGAAAATGGGTCACCCATTCCAGAGGAAGACAGGCACAGTGCCATCTAGGTCAGTGTAAATGGGCTCTGGGCATGGGAGGCTCAAGACTCCTTTCTTCCAGGGCACAACTATGTAAATAGGTAAATCATAAGCTGGGTGGTGGTGGCGCACACCTTTAATCCCAGCACTCGGGAGACAGAGGCAGGTGGATCTCTGTGAGTTTGAGACCAGCCTGGTCTACAGAGTGAGTTCCCGGACAGGCTCTAAAGCTACAGAGAAACCCTGTCTCAAAAATAAAAACAAAAACAAACAAACAAACAAACAAAAAAAACGGCCTTGAATCATGCCCTGTGCTGGGCCCTTTGAGGCCCAGTCCTGCCCAGCTATGACTGGATATTCTGATGACACTGAAAAGAAAATCTCGTAGTAGGCAGATGGCAGAGAATACCTTAGCCAGAGAGCTGAAGCGTTCTTACAGGGGTTAGTGGCCTTTCTAAGCCCCATGTACACTCAAAAGCAGCCGGCCAAGCCTTAGAGGCACCCGTGACTGCCTAGAGAATAAGTGCAGCACGCATTACACAGATCAAAGCTTCAGATCCTGTAACAATCCCTATCAGCCACAGGCTGCCATCAATCTTTCAGTCTTGACCATAGATGCTCCATTTTCATAAACACCCCATGTCCTACACACAGAGCAGGTGGGGGTTACATGTGGGGTCTGGGTACTGACTCTACTGAGCTGAAGCCTGCTTGAGTCTAACCTGGGAACGCCAAGAGGCTTTGTGTAAGCCTGGAGCACTGGATCCATTAGGGTAACACCTTCCTAGAGGTAGATGCTGAGTGCTACACCAACCTCACCTGCCAGACTGCTCCTGAGAAGGGGTTGTCTTAGACAGTTTGTCATAACTATTTAAAAAAAAAAGCTGAGATTCTGGAGCCCTGTGGTCTTTTCTCTTTCCCTGATGCAACTGTCTGAACTGGCTATGCTGAGTAAGGGCAGAGACATGAGTGCAGTGGTGTGGGTACCCTAGCCTTGAGGCCTTTATAACCCCTCAAGATATTAAATATTCACAAACTCTGACTCTAGCAAGCTTCTCCTGGCCATGACCACAAAGGATACCTTAGTCACTACATTAGGACAAGATTCTCCCAGCACTGACAGTAGTAGCCTAGTTTAACTTCAACTTGGACCTGTGAGTGCTCAGTCATCAGACTCCTGTACCCATTTCTAGCTACAGCTAGACAAAGGTAGTGATACAGGCCACAATAAGCAGAACTGAGAATGCCTCTGGGTGGTCAAGGCAGGACCAAGCCCTGGTTCCTGCCCTATCTGACCTAGTAAGAGCTGCAATAGGAATTCAGTCCACAGTTCTCTATTTAGTAATCTCAAAGAGAGAGGTTGTGTGACCATACAAAGAGACCGGAAAGGGCAGTTGAGAAAATCAAACTCCCTTCTGAGGAAATTCCTACCTAAAGCACTGACTCAGTTTTCAGTTATAGCTAACACTGACGGGAATAGAACAGACAACGTGAGGTACCAACGGGTCAAAGGAAGGCCTAGAAGCAATAAGGGACCCCCTATGGGTTCTGAAACATAACAACAGAGGGAAATTACAGAAGCAGCTGGAAGGAATCACAGAAAGATTCTATAGAGGCAGCCACATCAGGCCTGGGAACTAAGGTGGTACAACTGTACCACTGGGGTAAGGGGAGCTTATAAGGACATCCCCTGTGCCAAACAAAGTGGTGAGAGTGAGAAGAGGCCTAGCCTAGACATCTCATTCTCAGTTTACAGACAAAATAACAGGCCATGTACAAAAGTGTTCTCAAGAATTAGGCCAACCAAACACTGCCGGGCTGTACAAAGTAAAGTAACCATCAGCTTGGCAACAGGAGACTTGGGTCACCTGAGCCAACTGTAGGATGGGCTTCTTACAGACTGACCCTGTCTACAGCATCTACCCAGAAATCTGAGTGTGGCTTTTATCTTACTCCTTTTGCCAAACTAAGTTCCAGCTGGATCAGACTTATGATATAAAAAATGCAAACACAAAGATATTAAAGCCTGGAGTGATGGTACACACGTATAATTCTAGCACTCATGAGGAGGAAACAGGAGGATTAAAAAAAGTTCACGTACATAGTAAGACCTTGTTTTTTTGTTTGTTTGTTTTGTTTTTTTGAGACAGAGTTTCTCTGTGGCTTTGGAGCCTGTCCTGAAACTAGCTCTTGTAGACCAGGCTGGCCTCCAACTCACAGAGATCCACCTGCCTCTACCTCCCAACTCCCCTCCACAACCTGGGCACAGAAAAGAACTTTATGAACAATGCTACCAACCTCAAAAGCCGTAAAATGGCCAGACTAAGTGGACTGGCACACGACTGCTAATTTGGTATTGCTTTCTTGCCTTCCTCCCTCTTCTCCTTTTCCTCCTCTTCTTGAAACATGGTCTCACCACACAGCCTAACTGGCCTGGAATTTGCTATATAGAAAATGCTGGCCTTGAACTCAAGAGATCCATCGGCCTCTGCCTCCTAAGTGTGAAGAGTAAAGGTGTGTGCCACACCTGATATGCTTCTCTCTCTCTCTCTCTCTCTCTCTCTCTCTCTCTCTCTCTCTCTCCCTACCTACCTATCACGTGTGCGTGGGTATGTGTGCGCACGCATGAGCGCTTGTGCGCGCATGTGTGTAAAGTGATATTGTGTTTGTATGGTTACCTGTGGAGGTCAGAAGAGAATACAGATCCCCTGGAGTTACAGAAGCTGCCTGAAATGGGGGCTGGAAACTGAACTTGGGTATCTCTTAAGGACTATAGCCATGGCTGGGCTTGAATTCACCATCCTCCTGCCTCACCCTTCTGGGTACTATAATAGCTTTATATTATTAAGGAAGAAAACAAAACACCAACAGCAAAGGGGTTTTGACATACAACAGAGACATACAAAGGATGTCTGCTCCACTAAGATAGAAGAAAGCACGCCTGACTTTCCTCCTTGGAAAAGCTATGGCTAATTCAAACATGGAGACTGAACAGGCAGCACCTAACGGTTTTGGCAGGTGGATGGTAGCCACACTGGATATCCATCCTATCTCTAGAGACAAGGGAAAGTTGGCAGCTACCACCCAAGAGTAAAGAAGACCACATGCAGCCACTCTCAAATACCCCCTTGTCAAGCTGCAGAGGAACACTGACCCACCATGCTGAGGCCCTTGACTGGATCCCTGCCTCCACCAGAGATGTCACTGTGCCTGCATCCTCTCTCTCAACAGAGCCAATGGTGCAGCCTCAGGAGTACAGAAGGGGTGTGGGTATGGGAGGGCTGGAAGAACCCATTAGCACTAAGTGTCCAACTGCTTTCTGGAGATGGAGTAGATCCTGCTGCTGCCAGAAGCCTCTTAACTCTGGGACCCAGAAGTAAGGGTGGGGGGTCAGGACACCCACATCTGGATCAGATGGGCTTGTTAGCACTCAGCAGACAGTGGGACAAGTGTGGCTCCTGAAGCTCTGGCTGCAAACAACAGCCAAGATGGGGGCCTATTCCTCTGCTGGCTTCTTCCCAGGCAGACACCCAGTCCAAGGGGGAAGAATAGTACCTCTTCCCCATGCTTGTCCCAGGGTCAGCACTGCTCCTGCTAGCTGTTCTTTTCCTTCGTGACAACTTCTTGGTGCTGGCACGTTCTGGGGGCTGTGAGTCCTCTCTGGATGGGCTGCCCCCACCCTTGCTGTTAAGGTCCCGCAACACACTGTAGTTGATCTTGCTGGAGATTTTCTTCTGTTCCAGCATCTTTTCAATAGCCTCCCCAGCTGTGCTGGCCAGGATTGGCTCCCGGCGTTTGCAAGACTTCTTGGGCTGAATGAAACACACACACACAAAAATTCCTGTCATATGCTAGCTTCATACCTGCCATCTACCCTTGAGCCACAGCTGTTGCCCATCTGGACAGGCACAGAAAATTGGCTTGGATCTCTCCTGTATCTTGGCAGCTCCCAGCTCTGACACTGGTTACTCCAGTTCTTGCATATCTATGCTTCCTAGCAAAGTCTTTCTTGTCTACAGAAAAGGAAAGTACCTCATACAGCATGGAACATGATGCCTGGTAGCATGGAGTTTTGGGACCCACTTCCCTGCCCAAGTCTCTAGTCTTCCTCTGAGGCAAGTACCACTCATTCTCTGAGCCCCCACCCTGGACCTCGGGTTTTGCCAGCATCACATCTTCTCACTTGGCTCCTAAAAGGTTCAACAACTTACACTTGGGAGGCTGAAACCCCAAAGGGAGCAGCTGAGCCAAGTTACCAAGACTGTTCACCTGTTATCAAAGAATATAGGGACTCTCGTGTCCTCAACAAGGACCTGAAGCCCATGAAACAATCTGAGTCCACTCCTACATTTCACTTCGGTCTCCTTAGCTCTTGCGCAGGATATCTCACTGTAAAGCTCCATGGTACAACCATCTATGATGGAGCAAGCAATAATAATAACCTGGCAGCCAGGGATGTGGGTCCTATGGCTTCCACTGCCTGTCCCAGTCAGGCTCCTATGGACACAGGGGAGAGGTGTTCCCAAATGGTTTCCTCCTGTCAGCCAACCCTAAGGCTGAGTTAGGCAGTCCTGTCAAGAGGTACCCACCTTGTGCTCCTTATAGATACCAAGCTCCTTTTCCTTTGCTATTCTTGCTTCTTTCTCTGTAAGATGAAAAAACAGTGGGCCTCAGCAAGGGACATATCCTGGGACCTGGGGAGAGTTCTTGGATGTGTACTTACCCCTCTGCTCCCGCAGGTACTCAGCATTTTCACGCATCCACAACTCAGCTTTTACCCGGGCTTCTGACTCGTTCAAGATGTACTGTGGGAAGCACAGTGAAGCGGCTTCAGATCTTTGAGGTTGAGTTCTGACGTACGCCAAGATCTCTCAGCAACTAGCTTCCTATTTATATGCTTAAATTGCTAAAGAAAGGATGTGGGAAAGCCTTCCTTCAAAGAAACCTGTCAGTCCTTTGTCCTCCTCTGCCAAGTTTACCCTGAAGTCACAAGACAGTATTTGTAGTTCCTAGGCCTTGTTAGATTTCTAAGATATATAGCCAAGAAATAGTCTGGGGCCCCTGGGATTTGGGGATTAGAGATATGCAATATATTTGTGATGCAATGGGAGCCAACGCCAGGTGCAGAGCTCAGGGCCTTCCCAACATGGTCCTGGTTGGGCTGTTTGAGGTTTCAGAGGAAGGGCACATGACAACTGAGGCTGCTTTGGAACGGAGCTTGGAGGAGAGAGTCCAAGGGTCATGTCTGAATCATAGGCACTACAACTTGAGACCACTCACCTATCACGGAATGTCTGAGAAAGCCACAAAGCTCAGAGAGGCTAAAGGTGAATGACAGGCCTGGAACCTAGTTCAACCACACTTTACCCTCCATAACTCTCAACTACTGGGGACAAAGGGAGCAGGGGGCGGGGGGGGGGGGCTTACTCTGTCAATTTCAAGGTCATCGATGCCACTGAGGTCCAGCTCCCCGTCTCCTGAAGTGTCTTCTAGAGAGAAGAACCCCATCAGTGTCACACAGGCTGCCCTAGCAGATGCTGCTCACCATGGGGGATGCTTGGGACTCAGGGACTAAGGGCTGGGGCAAAGGGGCTGCAAGAACCTCCTTTGAGAGAATGTCACCTTAACACTTGCCCATCAAGAAAAAAAACAGAAAAAAAAAAAAAGGCCCAGAGGTGGTGGAGCACACCTTTAATCCCAACACTCAAGAAGCAGAAGCAGGTGGATCTCTGAGTTCGAGGCTGGCCTGATCTACAGAGTGAGTTCCAGGACAGCCAGAACTGTTTGTTACATAGAGAAAAAAGAAACCCTGTCTAGAAAGAAGAAGAAAGAGGAGGAGGAGGAAAAGAAGAAGAAAGAAAACAAGCACAGGGAATATTTCCTGCATCCTCAACAAGAAAATTAAGCTCAAGGACTAGGTGACGAGCTGCTAGAAGGGTCTAGGGTGGAATCCAGTATCTTACTCTTCTAGATGCCAGGCAACCCCTTCACCACCCCCACTTTCACCCACCTAATGGCCCACACAGCTGGGACTTTTGAGGTGTTGTCTTCAGCTCTTAAGGCTGAAACCCTGGGGAATTCATTAGTGGTCAGACCACCCACCCCTGGAGGCTCTCTGAAGTCTGCCCCACTTCCCTTGCTTTTCTGCTCTGGGTTCCCTATGCTCAGGTTGACAAGTCCCTTTGTATTGCTCTGAATTACCTGCTCCCTCAAAGCAGACACTCAGCTGTCCTCTACATACTTGGTCCACAGGTGAAGCATTTTGCCTCCCCAACTTAGGTCTACCCCTCATATAGCCCTACCCGCTAGCAAAGGTCAAATCTTCACCTGGTCAGGAGAGCAGAGCCAGATTACAAGGCCAGCTGGCACATACCCAGCTCTTTACCCTTGTGATGGTTAGTTTTAGATGACATCTTGTCACACAATTTAGAGTCACCTGAGTTTCAACTGAAGCAACATCTTTATCAGGTGTGCCTGTGAGCAAGTCTGTGGGGGCACTGTCTTGATTGTTAACTGATGTAGAAAGACACAGATCATTGTGGTGGCGGCATTCCCCAGGCACGGGGTCCTAAACTAGGAAAGACAGGAGAAAGCTAGATAGGTGCAAACCAAGCAACGATGTGTTTGTTTTTTGTTTTTTGTTTTTTTTTCTTTTTGCTACTGAGTATGGATGTGATGTGATTAGTTGTTTGAGTTCCTGCCTTGACTTCCCTGAAATGATCAAGGATAACCTGAAATTTTAAGTCACAACTGTTCCCAACAGTTGCTTTTGACAGGATATTCATCACAGCAAGATAAATGAAACTAGCGCACCCAGGGACTGTTGACTATTGTTCAGGGCCCTAGCAGTGCCTCACCCAAGCCCATAATTATGGTCCAATCCACAGCAGGGACCCTTCAGACTATAAACTTTCCCTGTCCCAGGGCACTCACTGGGGTCCCCACTTGGGGAGGAGATGCACTCTCGGATGGAATCGGAGATGCCCAGGCTGGCTGCTGTGGGCAATGGGCCAAGTAAGGACTCCAGGGCGAGGGGCCTGCTGCCCCCATCAGGACCTTGTGCTGCTTCTGAGCTGTCATCATCCCCCAGGAGCTCTCGATAAAAGTCCTTGTTCATGTGGCTGGCAGCAGCCTCCAGCTCTTCATCCTCCGTGTCTTCCTCACAGAATGGGCTGGATGTGGCGTCCTCACCGGAGCCTAGGGACACACGATTCGCACACCACCTGTCAACCAGGCAGAAAGCCAGAGAGAGCCCACTTTTGTAACAGAAACATTTTTTGCAAAGCTGCAAAATAACCAAGAATACAAAAACTACCAAAAAGCATGCCTTTTTGTGCAACAGAGAAAGCATGGTCCTGCCAGCAAATGGTGCTGGTTGCCCACAGGCAAGAATGGCCTGGCTTATTCCTCATGCTCTGTGCAAAAGCGGACTTAAATGTGGTATTGAGAGCATAAGAACATTCAGGAAAGATAAAGTTTGTGATCTAGGTTTAGGCAAAGATACCTTCAACAACACTAAAGCACAACCCATGAAACATAGATTAAAAGATTTTGAAATAATTATGATTTTTTAAAAAAAGAATTATAATGTCTGTCCTGTGAAAGACACTGTCAAGACAAAGGTGAGCCGTAGCTTCTTCTTAGATAACGTCTGCAAGGACAGTCTAGAACACGTGAAGAGCGCCAGTGCTCCGAAAACACAGAACCCAAGTAAAAAGACCTGCCAGTATAGAGCACATGAGGGGCACAACAGCAGGAGACGGCTCAGCCATGGAGTCCTGAAAGACACTCCAGCTAGACCAATCAGAACATGAGAGCTGTACTCTACAGTTTCAGTCTGCTGAAAACTCACGTTGGTGACCTCATCAGAGAGGATGGAGAGAAGACAGAGGTACTGGCCTCATGCATGTTGACAGTGGAAGAATAGTGGTGACTGCTGTGCAATTTTTTTGCCAACACCACCTCCCAGACCCTGCAATTCCACTCTGCCCAATAGAAGGGAGATCAATATCAACAGGGACTGTATACAGGTTTATCTGGAACTAACCCGAATGCACTCAACAGGAATGGTAAGCACTTCACTGCATTTACGGCAACTACACAATACGAGGACCATGCTATCAGTGGGCAACATAAAAGTAATGCTGAGGAAAGACAAGGGCACACACTATGTCTATAAAAGACTTCCGTACAAACAGATGATAAATGGGCTGACAAAGAAATCAGAGAAACATCACCCTTCACAACAGCCACAAACAGCATAAAATATCTCGGAGTAACTCTAACCAAACAAGTGGAAGACCTGTATGGCAAGAACTTTAAATCGTTGAAGAAAGAAATTGAAGGAGCTGGAGAAATGGCTCAGCGGTTAAGAGCACTGACTGCTCTTCCAGAGGACCTGGGTTCAATTTCCAGCATCTCACAACTGTCTGAAAATCCAGTTACAGGGGATCTGACACCTTCACACCAATGCACATAAAATAAAGATAAATAAATCGTAAAAATTTAAAAAAAGAAAGTAATCGACGAAGACACCAGAAAGTGGAAAGATCTCCCAGGCTCTTAGATAGACAGAATTAACATAGTAAAAATGGCAATCTTACCAAAAGCAATCTACAGATTCAATGCAATGCCCATCAAAATCCCAGCAAAATTCTTCACAGACCTCAAAAGAACAGTACTCAACTTCACATGGAAAAGCAAAAAACCCAACATAGCCAAAACAATCCTGTACAATAAAAGAACTTCTGGAGGCATCACAATCCCTGACTTCAAACTCTACTACAGAGCTACAGTACTGAAAACAGCCTGGCATAAAAACACACAGCAGGACCAATGGAACCAAATAGAAGACCCGGATATTAATCCACACACCTTCAAACACCTGATTTTTGACAAAGAAGCAAAAAATATCAAATGGAAAAAAGAAAGCATATTTAACAAATGGTGCTGGCATAACTGGATATCAACATGTAGAAAAATGAAAATAGATCCATATCTATCACCATGCACAAAACTCAGGTCCAAATGGATCAAAGACCTCAACATAAAGCCAGACATACTGAACCTCATAGAAGAGAAAGTGGGAAATACACTTGAACACATTGGCACAGGAGACCACTTCCTAAATATAACCCCAGCAGCACAGACACTGAGAGAAATAATTAATAAATGGGACCTCCTAAAATTGAAAAGCTTCTATAAAGCAAAGGACACGGTCAACAAGACAAAATGACAGCTTACAGAATGGGAAAAGATCGTCACTTACCCCACATCAGACAGAGGTCTGATCTCCAAAATATACAAAGAACTCAAGAAATTGGACACCAAAAGATCACATAATCCAATAAAAAAAATTGAGTACAGACTTAAACAGAGAACTCGCAACAGAGGAATCTAAAATGGCTGAAAGACACTTAAGGAAATGTTCAACATCTTTACTCAAGAGAGAAAAGCAAATCAAAACAACTGAGTGCTGGGCAGTGGTGGTGCACGCCTTTAATCCCAGCACTCGGGAGGCAGGGAGGCAGAGGCAGGCGGATCTCTGTGAGTTTGAGGCCAGCCTGGTCTACAAAGGGAGTTCCAGGACAGGCTCCAAAGCTACAGAGCTCGAAAAACAAAAAAACAAAAAACAAACAAACAAACAAAAAAAAACAACAAAAACCAACCAACCAAACAAACAAAAAAACTCTGAGATTCCATCTTACAACTAAAAGAATGGCCAAGATCAAAAACACTGATGACAACTTATGCTGGAGAGGTTGTGGGGAAAAGGGAACACTTCTGCATTGCTGGTGGAAATGCAAGCTGGTACAGCCCCTTTGAATGTCAGTGTGGTGATTTCTCAGAAAATTAGGAAACAACCTTCGTTAAGACCCAGCAATACCACTTTTGAGTATATATCCAAAGGATGCTCAATTGTGCCACAAGGACATGTGTTCAACTATGTTCATAGCAGCATTGTTTGTCATACCCAGAACCTGGAAACAACCTAAATGGCCCTTGACCAAAGAATGGATAAGGAAAATGTGGTACATTTACACAATTGAGTACTGCACAGGAAAAAAAAAATAACGATATCTTGAATTTTGCAGGCAAATGGATGGAGCTAGAAAACATCACTTTGAGTGAAGTAACCCAGACACAGAAAGACAATTATCACATGTACTCACTCATTAGTGGTTTTTAAACATAAAGCAAAGAAAATCAGCCCACAAATCACAGTCCCAGAGAACCTAGACAACAGTGAGGACCCTAAGATCTAATCTACATGGGTAGTAGAAAAAGACAAAACTCCTGAGTAAATTGGGAACATGGGGACCTTGGGAGAGGGCTGAAGGGGAGGGGAGAGGCAGGGAAGGGAGCAGAAAAAAAAAAATGTAGAGTTCAATAAAAATCAATAAAAAAAGGGTTATGTACAAAAGCCTAGAAAAGACTACTAATTCAATGACAGAAAGCAGCCACTGGTAACCTGGAGTAGGCGAGAAGGGTGGGACTGCCTTACAACGCACACAACGACAGAAGCGGTGACAGGTCTAGAGTCTCAGTGACGGAGGTGCTGGCTTCTCCCTACACCACACATGTCCACAGGCAAAGCTCAAAAACTAAAGGCACTTTAGAACCAAACACAGTCTGTAGCATTTGCATTATACATTCTGATATTTGATCTGAAAGTCACACCTCTGCCCCCAGCCTGTATATTCTCACCCAGAATACCCTGCCTGTGTCCAGTTGCTTTCTGCTGTGCTCCAAAACCAGGATGTGTGTGAAAGGAACAGATAAAGTTTGAAAAAAAGTAATAAAAAAAATTACACAAAAGACAGGAGGAAAAACAGCTAAAACCAAGAAAATGCTACCAAAAATGCTTACTTCAAACCACTAAAGGAAAAAGGATGCTCCAGATTGAATCAAGCCACCAAACACGGTCTTTGCTGTGTTGGAGAAGTTCTCCAGGTGGATATAAAGTGAAAGAGGAGGACAAGCAGAGACTTAGTGACACAAAGGCCTATGTGTGCCCCAAGGGACAGGCTAAGTGCCCTGGTAGAAGATAAGTCTTAGGAATCACAGCAAGGCAGCAGCCATCTCTCTGTATATAAGAGAGCCACTGGGGGAAATCACAGTGAGGGAAGACCAGAGCTCTGAAGAAGAGCCACCATGTGGCAGGTTCTCAATATCTATTAATAGTGAAAGTGGAACATGTCATCTCACCTCTGTGCCCATGTGTGCCTCCCTGCAGTGTCTACGGATACTTCATGCCTAAGAAGTATCAAGTAGGAACGTACCAGCAATACATCCTGATTATTGCACAATACAAGCAGCAGTTAGTAACCATGTCAGAACACACCTTACTCCCAGAATTTCCATAGCTCCCTCACATGTGGAAGAGAGGAACTATCTTGAGGCTAAGAAACTGCAAACATGACAATTCTCAATGAAGTTCAGTGCCCCAAATGCAGTGCCCCAGTCAGCAGACTCAGAACAGAGAAGTCAGGCAGGTGACCTGGAAGGTGGAGTAAAATGAGAAGGAAGGACGAAGCCAGGCAGGAGTAAGTGACCTAGTAAACAGTAGGCAGCAGGCTACATACATGCAAAGGATGGCTAGAAAAAGAGACTATCCAAGTTAAGAAAAGATCACAAAGAAAAATCACTACACAGAGAAATCAAAAGCAGCAAACAACTCTGTGAGCAGACAGGCAAAGCCTTGGATGGGAACGAGTGCAGCGGCCACTGAGGCCCCAGTGTTGCCTTCCAGGAACCAGGGAACCCAATGGTATGACAGTCAGGACACTGGATGACATTCACCCACTGTAAGAACTCCTGTGGTCTCCACAGATACTATAATCCTCTAGAACTCTCATTCACAGGGAGCTAGGAAAACTCTTGATGGCAATGAGTAGGCATTTACTCACCATTACAGGTAAGGGAACAACTTGCTTAGTGCATGTACTAGTCCATGGGAGCTGGAGTGAGGATATACTGCCGTCACCAAGATCAGCTAGATGCTGCAGGGCCAGGCAGCCTCAAGAAAGAAATTGAGAGCTGGTAGAGAACAGCACTAGAATCACTATGTGTAGATGACAGAATCAAGTACTTGGAAAATCTAATGACAAAATGACTGAAAACTAGTATGAGTGACAAGAGAGCTCACACTGCACACAGAAGTCAGGGAGGAAAGAGACTGCTTGTAACAGCCACACAGAAGGCACCAGTGTGGTGCTAACACAGGAGCAAAGCCCAGACAGGACAGAAAGACAAGCTCAGCAGCTTTCCCCAAGCTGACAAGTGAGGCAGACTGGGGGTTGAGAAGGGTGGCTAGGTGATACTAATGTGGACACGGGACATAAGCAAACACTTGCCTGGCATGGCACAACATGTTAGCATAGTGCCAGCACGGTGGGCAGAGAGCACAGCCGAGCAATCAAAGGGATGCCCAGAGTAGCTTCGCCAGACTACGTCCCAAGGAAGGAAGCAGACATATATACCTTTATTCTGAACAGCCCAGAAGAGAACTATCTAGCAACACAAATGGTTACAGCAGTTCTAAAAAGTCCACACGGGGATATGTGTTCAACAGGGGCAGACAGCACAGGGGCATGAGTAAGAGCCATGGCCTTACAAACAGCTCAAATGGCCAGCAGGGCTCCCAGTGCCAAACATGCAGGGCTGTGGAGAGATGGAGAAGACAGGAGAAGAGTGTCCTGGCGGTAACTTCATTTGCGATTCTGTGCTCCAGTGCAGGGAATGACAAGCAGACTGGGGTGGGGTCAAGTACCAGTGAGTAGGGCAGGTCAGGGCTGCTGGCCTAGGGCCCTCAAGGCCCTTAATGGCAGGGAGGACTCACCATCCTTTGACAAGTTGGCAAGAGCGCCTTTTGCCTTTGGCCGGCTGTTTTCTAGCTCAATTTCAATAGCATCCTGGTAACTGGATATTTCACCTAGAGTAACAAGTTAAGAGCAAAAAATAAGCACAGTGATTTTCTACCAAAAAAGAGAACATGTGTGAGAACTGGTTAGTTACCTTCGACTTCTTCTAGCTTTTTTGACAGGACCTGTTCCAGCTGAAAGACAAAGGGGTCTTTGGTAAAGAGTCAAAGCCCAAGGCCTCATTGTTGACAAGGCTGTGGGGTGGTCAGAATGGAGCTAGACCTGCCCTCTCCTTTCGAACAGGCATATAGGTATTTAGAAAGCCATTTAGGTATTTAGAAGCAATATTTAGAAAGCCACCTTGACCAGAAGGCTCAGGTCTGTCCAATGTGCAGAATGTATCCTTGAGTTACCGAAAACTCAGCCACAACTCAGCTCTGACCCTCTGACCTCCCTGCTGACTGCAGTCCTAGTATGAGCACAGTCACAAGCTCAGCGATAATGAAAGGAAGTCTGGCTACAGTGGTGGCTGCCTTAGAGGACAAGGAATAAACCAGAAACAAAGCTTGGCTGTGGGGACGGGCTCAATGGGCCAGGAATGAAAAGCTCATCATGAGCCCCAATGTGCTTGGAGGCTCTACACATGGCACATCCCTAAGACTCGTTCTCAAGGCCCAAGAAGACCAAGTTAGCAGCCCGGAGAGTCCAACAGATATGGGAATGTTAGAGAGCAAATCTTCCTAAAAAGCTCAAGTGTAATGGGTGTGGAGCCACCTGCTTCATGCGCAGCTTCCTCTGTCCAGCTGTGTATGAAGGAGGGTCACATTCCTCTTCCAGGTCAATCTTCATAAACTCATCAATGGTGAGCTGACTGGTTGGAGTGTCTTCAAATTCTGTGAGCCTAAGACAGAAAAGTAGAGAAAAGCCCATGGCACTCTCGCTACTTCCACATGCCCACCCCTGGTTCTGGTGGAAGAGTCTCCAAGGAAGGAGGTCTACCCACCCATCAGCAGAGCACGACTCTTCTGGGAAGCCAACACAGTTTAAATCTTACCAACTTTTCTGCATTTCTTCCCTCTTTTTTTTTTTTTTGGTTTTTCAAGACAGGGTTTCTCTGTGGTTTTGGAGCCTGTCCTGGAACATTTCTGCATTTCTTTAAACTAAAAATGTTTAGTTCATTTACGTGGGGAGGGTGCTCATGTACACAAGCATGCATACATGCCACAACACACAAGTGGAGGTCAGGGGACAACTTGTGGGCTCAGTTCTCTCCTACTATGTGGGTCCTGGGGACTGAACTTGAGATGCTGTGCCATCTTGATCTCTCCATCTTCAGGCCTCACCTCCAAGTACCGAGTATGAGCACATACTGTTGGCTAACATTTGTTTACTTTTTGTGTGTGTGTGTGTGTGTGTGTGTGTGTGTTTTTTTTAAAACAATGAGTCTCAAGTAGCCCAGGCTGGCTTTGGATTGTCATATAGCTGAGAATGTCTTGAACTCTTGATCCTTCTGTCTCGAGGTACCGAGAGCAAGAGTTATAGAAGTGCTTGGCTACATTTTTAATTTTTTGTTTGTTTGTTTATTTTTTGAGGCAGGGCTTTTATTTGTGTGTAGCTCTGGCTGTCCTGGAACTCTATATATACCATGCTGTCCTCAAATTCAGAGATACCTGCCTCTGCCTCCCAAGTGCTGGGATAAAAGGCACACTTACAATTTTTCATCATAACTTTTTATTGATTCTTTGGAAATTTCACATCATGCATCCCAACCCCACTCATTTCTCAGTCCCTCCATATCTGTCCCTTATCCCCGCAGCATCCCCCCAAAAGAAAATTTTAAAAATTAAAATCAAATCAAACAAACAAAAGCCCACTTTGTTCCTTCATCTTTCCTGACTCTTCAGCACCTCTTCATTCATCTCGGTGGCACTGGAAGCTGTGGTGTGTCACACCACAAACCCTTTTGTCACTCAGCTTTACTTGCAAATGTTCATTGCAATGAGTTGTTGTTCTGACTAGGGCCTCTGGCTCCTGGTACACAATCAATATTGGACTCTTGCAAAATTCCTCTCTGATATCCTACTGTTGCCTCAAGTCATGGAGATCTTGCAACTATGCTCACACAGGACCAGTCCCTTCACACACTCTGGCAGGTCATAGACGGAGTAGATGTTGAGGTAGCCAACTCAAAGCCCTGGCTGTAGGTCTGGGTGCTAGCTGATTTGGTTAGCCCAGGCTGCTGGTACCTCCCCCACTGCCTTAGGCAAGGTGAAGTCAGTTTTTCTATGGCCACGCCATTAGGGCTAGCTCTCCTACAACCGTGGTGAGGAGCGGGCCATCTCTCACAAGTGTGGGACCAGCTCTCCCATGAGGGGTGGGGACAATTCTTTTGTTACAGTGGCCAGCATGAGGCAGGACCATCTCTCCCAGAGCCAGTGAAGGGTGATGTTACTCAATTTTTAATAAAATAATAAAATAAAATCAGCTTAACAAGATGGATCAACATTTAAGATATTAGCTGCCGAGTCTGATGATGTGATTTGAGCCCTGGCACCCCCACAGAAGGAGGAGAAACAGTTCTGTCAGTTTGTCTTCTGACCTCCACATGAATATGCACACACACACACTACATTTTTAAAATGTTTTAATTAAAAAAAAAGAGGCTGGGTTTGGCACAAGCCTTTATCTTAGCAGTTGGGAAGCTGAGACATAAGGATCTCTGAGTTCCAGGTAGGCCGGATTACAAAGAGAGAGACCTGTCTTAGAAAAAAAAAAATATGTGAGCCTGGCTCAGCATATAAAATTGCTACGGCCAAGTCTGATGACTTGAGTTCAATCCCTAGGAACAACATAGTAGAAGGAGAGAACTGACCTCTCCCACATTGTCCTCTGATCTCATTGTGTGCAGTGGCATATGTGTACACGCATGTGCACACATACACACAAATAAATAAATGTAATAACTTTTAAAAAGTAATTTTAAAGGTATTAGAGGAAAAATACTTAAAATGATTTTTCAATTTGCATCCAGCAGATGCTCTCAGCAGAAATGGTCAACAAGTGTTGAAATCTGTGATATGTATATCAGCAATGATAAGCTTCCTAGCAATTCCTTGGTATGTTCATCTTGCTCAGGTTATCCACATGAGCTGGGAGAACCTGTTGAAAGCTGTGCACATAGTCTGTGGCCCATGACAGATATGGTGAGGTTTAACTAACTCTAGCAAGAAGTCACGCAGGCGGGGGCTGGAGAGATGGCTCAGCGTTTAAGAGCATTGCCTGCTCTTCCAAAGGTCCTGAGTTCAATTCCCAGCAACCACATGGTGGCTCACAACCATCTGTAATGAGGTCTGGTGCCCTCTTCTGGCCTTCACACAGAAAGAATATTGTATACATAATAAATAAGTAAATAAATAAATATTTTTAAAAAAAAAGTCGCCAGGCAATGGTGGCGCATGCCTTTAATCCCAGCACTCGGGAGGCAGAGGCAGGCGGATCTCTGCGAGTTTGAGACCAACCTGGTCTAAAGAGCTAGTTCCAGGACAGGCTCCAAAGCCACAGAGAAACCCTGTTTCGAAAAACCAAAAAAAAAAAAAAAAAGTCACGCAGGCTCTCAAAGCCCAGAATGAAACAAACCAGATGGGAAGAGGAAACCTCTAGTGCTTCCAAAGCAGCTTTGCTGTCCACTTCTAATCAGTGGGATGGGAAGCCTCTTTAATTACAGCCTACTCATCTCATGAGACATTAGGATGGGAAGCTGGGTACTTCCAAAGGGCAGAGTAACCCAGGCAGTAGCAGCTCTGATACAGAGATGGGTGCAGTAGCCATCACACTGTGAACTAGAATGCTTACCTCTTCCGTAGTGTGGACTCACACACTTTGACCACACTGATGACTTCTTTGACGGTTCTCCGGAAGTCATGCATTCTGGCTGCAACCAAAAGTGCTAGGAAAGAAACGAGATCACCAGAAAACTCACATAGACATGAAAGCAAACAAAATTCTCCCTGAACTCTGAAAAACTGTGAGTGAGACACGTGTTTGCCTTCTCTAAACAAATCTGTGATGTAGACACTCTATGGCAATAAGAGTCCCACTCTACAGAGGGATAGGGTGTTTGCCTTCTCTAAACAGACCTATGGTGCAGACACTCTATGGCAATAAGAGTCCCACTCTTATTTGGGTTAAAGCTGTACTACATTCTACTTTTAATAAACAGAAAATGCAAGAATATTTATAACTCCTCAAAACATGAAAATTAACTTTGAGGTAATGTGTGTGAAACCCCTGGTTATGATGGGAGTAGAGGATTCTGAGAATGTAGTAAAGCTGGAAAAGGCTGGGGCATGAGGCGCAAGACATCATCTGACAAGTGTGAATTATGGTAATGGTAAGCACGGGGCCCAAGAATCTTTAGAGTAAATGTGGAAATCAGGTCTCAGATACAAGCAGGCTCAGGTAGCATTGCCCTAATGGGAGCATAAGTGGTACCTGGCATGGCAGAGAGGTAGGAAGGTGGAGGCTACAGAAGGAACAGGCCCCTGCTGGCCTGGAGCTCTTCCCGAGCAGGGGATTCTTGGTCTAGGCCACAGTCAGCACCTGAAGATCTTACAGGTGCAGCCAGAACAACTATGCTGCTGGCTAGCAAAGACTCAGTGCCTCAGCTGAGAGGTCATCTCACTAACCATGCTGAGAGTGGCAACAATGTGCCATGAGTGGACAACATAGAGTGGAACAAGAGCTACCAACGGTCATTTCATCCTCTGAAGTCCTGTCTCTCATCTCAGAACCTGCAGAAGCCAACAAGGGAAAAAGTGCCAGAGTCCTTAAGGAGTAAGAACCATGAAGGTCAGGTCAAAGGACACAGCTCTTATGTAAGGTGGACTCTGGAACCATAAGCAATAAGTCGTGGGCTTGACTATTTAAGGCTCAAAATAGATGACTAGGGTTCAACTTACCTACTATGCTTATAGGACCCTAAATTTGATTGCTAGCACCCTCCCACACACATGCATGCATGCGCTCATCAAGCATCAGGAGAGAAAATGCTACCCAAGTGCTAGACTAAGCTGTCATCCTAGAGGCATATGGCCAATACTGTACCTGCTCCACAGAGGCCAGAGGGGCGCCGCCCTGTGTGCATCCAATCCCTCTTCATTCTCTGCAGAAGCCTCAGGGCTGTCATGGATACTTCATGGTTCTTCTCCCCAAATTCCAGTAGATGAGCAAAACGTGGAATGTACAAGCATGGGTCTGTAGAGTAGACACAATACCTTAGTGTGTATGTAGATATGTACACACAGTACTAAGCAACACCCTGCAACTGGGTGACTCTACCCACTTCTCCATGTACACAGGCTCTCTAAGGTCCCCTTCCCTTATGCAGCTGTGTCTACTACAGCCAGAGGAGAACTGTTGGCTTCACAGGGCACAAATCTGGGCATGTATGGCAATAGGGGTGGGGTACAACTTCCACCTTCTCTCAGAGGGTGACAAGAGGTCAAAGAGCAGGAAAGGTGTGGGCTCTTTACACACCTTTCCTGAGTGTGTAAAGAATTTCCTGAGTGGCTGTGTCAGCTCAGTATCTAGCAAAATGAATACAGTGGGCACACAAGTACACATATGTTCACAGTTGTTTCTTCTCCTAAGTGCCTGGCACTTTGCTAGATACTGAAGTTTCAGTCAAAAATTTATGGAGCTCATGAATGGGACAAGAAAGTAAAACCAAGTCACTTGATGAATTCAGTTCATTATTACCATACCATTAGTGCAAAGACACGACCTAGGGACAGAGGAGATCCTGGGACTTGTCCAGGAAGAACCACTTATGCTCAGGGCTGAGAAGCAGACAGGTTAGAGAATGCTAGTAGAAAATAATGGAGGAGGACCAGGGAGGCTCACAGAGGTCTTAGAGAAACTGAGAGGGAGAGAATCAGTCAGTTCACCTCATCTTTCAAATAGGAAGGCAAAGGGCCTCAGCTACTGACTGATACCTAGCCCACCCTCCCAGGCAAACTGACCTTTACCAAGTGACTCCATGAGACCAAACATACAAGGATCCAGTCCAGTTCACAGGAAGACTCAAAGAAGAAAGCTGAGTACAGTGTCTTTTACCTGTAACCCAAGCAACTTGGGAGATGGATGGGGAGAAAAAGAATTTGAGGCCACCCTAAACAACACAGAGACTCCATTTGATAGAGACAGAGACCCACATTGGAGCACCGGACTGAGCTCCCAAGGTCCAAATGAGGAGCAGAAGAAGGGAGACTATGAGCAAGGAAGTCAGGACTGCGAGGGGTGCACCCACCCACTGTGACAGTGGGGCTGATCTATTGGGAGCTCACCAAGGCCAGCTGGACTGGAACTGAAAAAGCATGGGATAAAACCGGACTCTCTGAACATGGCAGACAATGAAGGCCGATGATAAGCCAAGGACAAAGGCACTAGGTTTCGATCCTACTGCATGAACTGGCTTTGGGGGAGCCTAGCCTGTTTGGATGCTCACCTTCCTGGACCTGGATGGAGGGGGGAGGACCTTGGACTTCCCACAGAGCAGGACTGCTCTTCAGACTCGAGAGGGAGGGGGAATGTGGAGTGGGGGGAGGGGGAGAGAAGTGGGGAGAGGGGGAAGAGGATTGGGGGAGAGGGAGAGGAATGGGAAGAGGGGGAGAGGAGAGGGAGGAGGGGGAGGGAAATGGGAGACGGGGAGGAGGTGGAAATTTTTTCAACAAAAAAAAATTTAAAAAAAACAACTGGCCAACCAACAAACAAAAAACCAGAAGGAGATAGCAAGAGTTTAAGAGGGCAGTGAAGAAGGCCCGGAAGCAATCTGAAACCTAGGACTGGATAGATTCAAGTCACATTCCACAGTAACCACCTGGCTATGTTGGGTACCAGTGCCCCTAGGTTGTGCTAAATTGTTGAGAATCCTAGCAGGTATCTTTAGTAAAAATTCAACAGTCTTGGGTTTTTTGAGACAGGGTTTCTCTGTGTAACCCTGGTTGTCCTGAAACTCATTCTGTAGACCTGGTTAGCCTTAAACTTAAAGATCTGTCTGCCTTTGCCTTCTGAATGCTGGGATTAAAAGCATGTACCCAACTATAAGAGAGAAATTTTAATATACACACATACATACATATATATAATTATTACATATATTGTGTATGTACACACACACACATAATTGTTATGTTTCAGGCCTTGCGAATACAGCAACGAATAGACTTGATTTTTAAAAATGTTCTCAGGCCTGGAGTAGTGGTGCAGGTCTTTAATCCCACCACCCAGAAAGCAGAGGCAGGTGAATTTCTTTAAGTTTCAGGCCAACCTGATCTACAGAGTAAAATTCTGTCTCAACATTCTAGACTCCCCACTCCTCCATGCACCTTCCCTAAATAAAAAGGATAGTGTACATGGCACCAAATGCCAGTAATCCAAGCTGCTAAAGAGGCTTCAGTACAAGGACGGTCAGTTGAAGCATGCCTGGGAAACATAGCAAGACCTCGTCTCTAAATAATAAACAGTTTTTTTTTTTTTAAAAAAAAAAAAAAGGAAAAAGTCTAGACAACCTGACTGCAGTTCCAGGACAGGCTCTAAAGCTACAGAGAAACCTTGTCTCGAAAACAAAACAAACAAACAAACAAACAAACAAACAAAAGAAGAAGAAGAAGAAGAAGAAGAAGAAGAAGAAGAAGAAGAAGAAGAAGAAGAAACTTTGTCTCAAAAGAATCAAACAAAACAAGAAAACAAAATCAACCACCACAACAAAAAACTTCTGAAGGACTGGCT